GAACTACAGCTGTGCTGTGAAGAGAGTTCTTTATTAAGATCTGTAGGATCCTACAACTTTGATTTAAAATGTAAGAAAAATGTTGGTTATTTGAGGCCAATCGTTAATATATTTCTATTGCAGTCTCCTTAAAAAGCAAAAAACAAAACCCACCATTTCTATGACAGGTTTCCTCTGTGAGTCTTTATTTGTGTGATGCAAGCAAGCAGTGTGTTCAGCCCTTCATCCCCCACGAGGTGTGGCATTGGAGTTCTTGGGGGGAGGGGTGCGTGCCTCTGGCTCCTTCCCCAGACGGGCAGGGTGGCTGACCCGGCTAACTGCTTCTGCAGCTTGGGTTAGTTCATTCGGTGGTGGACGCTAGAGCAGTGATGCCTAAAGCAGCTCCAGCTTTGCCAGAAGTGTTCGTCTCCATAGCGCTTTGTAGGTTTGGCGAAAATGAAGTCACTTGGGAAAACAGTGCCACTTTAGTCTTTATGTCATTATCTTGTTATGAGTATGTAAAAGTAAAATGCATGTGAATTTATTATATTTGCACTATAAAGGTATTTGATTAAAATAGAGACTTAAGCTTTTAAGGCCCTTTCTTTTACAGCTTTTATGAGTTAGCAGCCATCCTATAATTTTTAGACATATGTGGGCTGTCAGGTTTATCAGGCATCGAGCAGAATGCGCCTGTCTCTTCTAAAACTTGAGGCCTGGCTAGTAAGTCAAGTCTTGAACTCATCTAAAAATTGTACTGATAATATCTTTCCTGGGTAAGACACTTGTGTAGATGAGACACAAGGCAGGCGCTGTCGGGCAACTTCTTCAGGAGAGGTAGCACACAGGGAGGTCGACTAGAACAGTTTGTTCTTTCAACACACATTTACTGAGTGTCTGTTCTGTACCAGGCCCTGTCACATTCGGGGATCCAACGTTAAACATGACAAGATACCAGCTCTGCCATCTTGGACTTAAGAGTTTAGAGGAGGGTGAAAATGAGCTGCCAGGTGTACAGGCGCTGGGATGAGTGCTTGTGATTGAGGAATTGCAGAGAACTCAGGGGAGTTGCCTGGGGTCAGGGTGAGGGGTGGTCCTGGTAGGGCTTCCTGGAAAAAGTGGAGTTGGAGGCCAGGAATTGTTAGGAGTTAGCCGAGAGAGAAATGGGGTAAAGGGCCGGCATTGCTGCAGGGTAGACAAAACTTCATGTTAAAGGAAGGGAGATGCAGACTTGTTCAGGAAAGCTGGAATGGGAAGAAGAGGGCAGGGACTGGGTCACAAAGGGCTTTGCAAACCACACTGAAGAGTTTGAGCCTTACGTTGAGAGCAGCAGGGAGCATATTCATAGTGACATGAACGAACGGTCTTCAGTCACTGCAGCTGACGCGCAGAGAGGCATTTAGAGAAGAGACCAGGGCAGGCCATACACCATTTCAAACAGAGAAGTGAAAGTGAGGATGGGGAGAAACTGACAGCTGAGAGCTACTTCGTAATTAAAATTTAAAAACTGGCAATTGATTAGCTCTCAGGCAGAGGCCGATTCCTGAGTGCTGCTGGTTTCATCACCTGAGTTGATGGGGGTTCCATTTATATGGGGAGAGACAGGGAGAGGAGCACATTGTATGGGAAGAATGGGGTTGGTCCCTTAAGAATGTCCAACAGCTAAGGACATGGGCTTGGAAGTCAAGACTGGGTTTGTATCCGCATTGCTTTTTTTGTCTGTCAAACTGGTCGGCTAATATCTCTTGAGTACATGACCTTGGGCAGATGACTATCTGTGTGACCATCTGTCTGAGCCTCAGTGTTTTCCTCGTTTGAATAAAAGATAGTACCTAGTACGTATTGTTTAAAGTTACTTTGCAAAGTGCTTAACCCGTTTTAAACACTGCTAATCTCACTGTGGGCTAAAATGAGATTAGACAGTATTCAAAGGTCAGAGATGTTCAGCCACAGTCTGATGGAGGCTAGATTTGAGGTGTTCTTACAGAATTAAACAGATGGGACACAGAGGGGACAATCTCAGTTGGGATGGAGGTTGGCGGGGATGGGGTAAGGAAGCAGGGCTTGATAAGAATCGTTGGAACCACTGTGTTTTAAACCAGTGCTTTATGTCAAGGTACAGAGATAAAAGTTACAAGGGAGGTGGGGGGGGCAAATAGGGGAGGTTTAGCCCCTTACTTTGCCAGTGTAAAGCAGACACCCCACTTTCCTTAATAGCAGGGTAGCCAGATTAAGACCTTTAAAGGTCCTAAACTTCAGAAACAATGAAGGTGTGCCATCCCCCACCTTATGTAATGCAAAATAAAACAATACTAAATTGTAAAATAAGTGTAACAAAGTCCAATAAAGTGTTTATTTTTTCTCATAACTTTGATATTAATTTGAAATAACAAATTTTCTTTGAAAATTAGGGGGCAGTATCCCTATTTGCTTGACTGTACTCTAAGTTGGCCTGTTGCTAGGAAACCCAAGATTACTCAAGACTCAAGCGAACCGTACTCGTGAGTGCTGAATTATACACAAGCATAAATAACATCAGCAGGTCGAATAAGCCCAGGATCACACTTGAAAGCAGGAGAGTATTTTGACTCATCAGATAAGTCATCTGGTGTTTCCTCCCCAGGAATGGGCCTGTCTGTCCCTCAGGATTGCAGATGGACCGCCTGGCTCCGAGGCCAGCAGTATGGCCTAGGACCTCATCAGGGGCAACAGCAGTGGCTGCACCTTTACCTGGTAGGAGCTAGCTGGGAGGAGGCTTGCAGGCCCATGTGGCCCCTTGCCAGTTTGCTAAGACTGGTCTAGCAGGGTACTCGGTTGGGAAATAAAAGCTTCTCTTATCCAGCAAGGAGCCTGCCAAAGAATGGCCATGGATCTGGTTATTGCTGCTATTGATGTTCTGGACCAAGCCGTAAACCAGCACGTGTTTTTGTCCATTACAATTCCTTTTCCTTTTTATACATTCCAGCAAAAGCGTTCAGTAACATGAGTCATGCTTTTGAGCTCTGCAACCAGAGCTGCTTGCTCGTGTCTTTTCTCCTTTCGTGTTCTATCCATCCTGTACCTTGGAGCCCAAATCAGGTGGCCTGCTCAGTGGCGTCCTCACCGCGGCTGAGTGACATGAGCTGGACACAAACCGTCTCCTCAGGTGCAGAATAGTGACCATGAAACAATGTGTGTGCCCAGCTGTGAATAGACGCTGTCCATGCACCTAGAAGGTGGGGATTCTCCCCCTTCCCCCTGACAGATCAGACTGAGGCTTAGAGAAGTTAGGGACTTGCCCATAATTAGTAAGAGGCAAAACAGAGAAATAAACCAGGACTTGAGAGTTCTTTTTTCAGTTAGGCCCCATTGTCTCTTGGCATAAGGTGACAGGGCACCAAGATGACTGGAGACGGCTTAGGGACGTGCTGTCAAACTACCCATCAGCAGCAAAGGAAGATTAGGAATCCCCTGAAGACAGTAACTGACTAGGGCATTGTATCTCTAAATGGCTGGCACCTTACCAGGTAAGAGGGTGAACATTTGGTTAAAACAGTTTGCTTCCAGAAAGGTGGCAACCCTAAAGGATTTTCTTCCTCACCAGCTTTAATGCAGTAGCAGGACACATTTCTGCATCAGTTACAGGCATGCCGGACCAGTGCTATGTGAGGAAGGGGCATCGCGGAAAACAGGTATTTCAGAAAACAAACCAGAAATAACTCCCACGGCTTGTAAAAACTCTGCTGCCCTGGTTGGAGCCAAGAGTCCATTTTTCCAGATGGGAGAAACGGACTGAGTTTTAGGGCCACCGCTTCCTGAGGAAGGCTGACCTCAAGAGCTGGCATGTTGCGGTGTTAAGAACTTAACCTGCTGCATCATCAAAAGTCAGCGGTAAGTGTGTGGATGTCCTGCATGAGACAGTTTGCCAACTGACTCATCAACACACCGGACCCACCGAGGCACCTAGCTTTTGTCTCCTGTGGGGCAGACCACACGCTCCTGTATAGAAACCAACAGGGAGCAGGTAGAGAGACAGCCAAGCATGCCTGGGACCACGGTCGATCAAGCCACATCTAGTTATCCCTTAAGGAGTCTGGGTTCACTTGTGCTTCCAGAATAAAACGTTCAGTTACAGCCTGGGTCTCAGAGGTTAAGAACCTCCGCTTTGTATTTTACAAGAAGCCAGAAAACCACCTACTTTGTACACTGCTCCCCTATAAAAAAATTCTTTCCTCCTTTCCTTCTGTGTTCTGTTGGAGGGTGAATGACAGTAAAAGGCAAACAGTGTGGCTCTGACCATCAGGAGAAAGTGGGCTAGAGTCTGACTACCGGGCTTTGAAGCCCAGCTCCACATTTGACTGTGTGTCCTTGGGCAACCTGCTTAACTCCTCTGGGCCTCGTTTCCCCCACAGGAGCAGGAATACTACTTAAGATTAAGTGGGTTATCATGAGAGACGATGGACTCTGAAAAACAAACAGGGTTCTAGAGGGGAGGGGGGAGGGGGGTGGGGGGATGGGTTAGCCTGGTGATGGGTATTAAGGAGGGCACGTTCTGCATGGAGCACTGGGTGTTATGCACAAACAATGAATCGTGGAACACTACATCAAAAACTAATGATGTAATGTATGGTGATTAACAGAATAATAAAAAATTTAAAGAAAAAAAAGATTAAGTGGGTTATCTCTGTGAAGCACCTAACATAATGGATGCCTAGCCCATACAGGCACTCGGAAATTGTTAGCTATGCGAAAGATTCAAGGCCAGTCTAGAAGGGACAGCTGGGCCTTAAGAACTGAAAAAATCTGCACATTGTCTCTACCACTGTGTATATCAAGTGCCATTCTTTGTATACACTGGTATCTTCTAATTGTGCATGATCTTCAGAGGTGGCCAGCCCCAAATCTATAGGTGCAATGTGTTGCCACAGGGCCTCTCCCTGCCTGACCTGGAGGGAGGCTCTACCTGGGCCATCATGTACCATGAATAATAAAACTTCAGAACCTTTATCTAAACGGTCACTATCACAAAAGAACTCCACACATAGCCTTACAGGACTTTTATTAAGACCCAGTCATGCATACTAAAATTACATGTTTTCACCACTTTGACGTAGAAAATGCACTAGAAAAATAAACTTTTGGTCAAAACAAACACAAGTAGATGAATCCACCACCACGTGTCCATATACTCAAAGCTAAACTGAATTTCAGTTTGAAGCGAGGAATGTGACCAGTGGCTGAAATGGTGCCCCAATCTGGTCAGAAAATCAGCCTGCCTCCCACCCTGTCAGCGTGGGATCAGAGGCTCCTGGCCCCTGAGAGGCCTCAGGCATCTCACCCGTAACAGGTTACCACCTGATGTGCCAAGAGGCGGAGGCATAGCCCAAGAATCCCCAACAGCAGCTGACTTCCTGCCCAACTAAATGTGCCGCCTGGTGAGCCCAAAGGAGAAGCAGTGAATTGGCAAACGGCAAGTTCATCACTAGCACCTCCACGAGTCACACCGGGCCTTCCTGTGGCACAAGCTCTGTTAGGAATATTTGACGATGACTGTCCCTTGCATTTCAAGCAAACCAGTTTTGAGTCGGGAAAGCAGAAAGGAATTTACTTTAGATTTACAAAATTAACAGGTCCCAATACTGAGAGACATCACCAGATGGACCTCTTTCCTGAAGAGTTGAGATGTTTCTGTTTGGTGTCTCCACACATCCACAGAACAGCCACATTTGCATCATTACCTTGGCTAACACTTCACTTCCTCAATGAAAGGAAGGCTTCAAAGGAAAACCTTAAAAGCTAAAGACTTTAAAATGAAGTAATAAATAATGCCACAACAGTACCACAGCTTTTGCCTACCCAAGTGAAAAAGCAATCTGAGAATCCGGTGGCATTTAAAGAAACTGCCCACCAGGAGAATTCAGAAAGGCTCGGTAGCTCACAGGAATTTGGGGGAAAATACCTCTTCCTGTCCTCTGAGTCTGGCAAAAATGTATCTTACAAGCTGAAGTGTTTGTAAACCTCTAAGGACATGTGGCTTCTTGTGAAAACGAGATGAAGTATGGGGAAGCTAAAGCCACTTCTGCCCAAAGCAGGTAAGCTTGGGAGAGGAAGCCAGATTTGCACAGTTGTTTCTGCACATTTCTTCCAGCCTCTCTCCGTGAAGGTAGAACAGGATTCCAGGAAAAGTCATAGTTTTCCAGATTCTGTAGAAGAGAAGAGGAAGAAAACCCCCATATTACCTAAGCTTACAGATTCATTTGGCAGCTTCAGACGTCAATTCATTCAGACCTACATTTCCTATAAAGTAATCCAGATAGGGGAAAAAGAAAAAGGCCTCTAAAAGGTAGAGTACAATGTCCCTGTGGCAGTAAAGCCAAATGATGCCTAAAACAGAGGGTTCAGAGCTCAGAATGGAGATCCCTTTTATCATGTGATTGAGGGGTGTTCAGTGGCTCATCCAAGGCCACACAGCAGTGTAAAGCCAGAACCAGACTCCTGGCAGACTCCTTTCCCTTTCCTATACCACAGTACCCTGAATTTAGGGAAAGGTTACTTTTTAGATGTTTGTGAAATAGGCCAGAACCTTTCCCTGAAGGAAAACACTCCCAGTTCTCCCTATGCTCACTTGTTTGTCCCATCAGTGCACCCCGCTCCTGAATCAGGCTCCCTTGGTCCCTTGATCATCCCCCCACCCCGCTGGGGCAGCTCTATACAGACGCCTGGTGAAGCCGCACAGAAACTGCCTTGATTTTCACCAGGGAGGTCCTGCTTTCACAGCGTGGTTCAAGTCTCCTGAGGTGTCCAAACTATTTGCTCTCTCTTTGGAACCAAAATAAAACACAGCAGCTGCAGAAGGCAGACAAATCTTGCCTCTGACTCCTTGGGCCAACCGGAAAGGCCAAGGAAACATCCCGGTCTTGCCTGGTCTTGCAGATACTTGTCCAGGTGAGCTTACACACACGCAAGCTTTTCAAGTCAAATGGACACGGGCAAAACTGGCCAGGAACGCAGCGCAGCGTGTACACTGGGAAACTCGGTGGGGCTGAACAGTTCATTTCTCCCTCTGTCTAGCTTGGGGGGGGGGGGTGGTTTTGTTTTCTAATCTCTCTTTCCTCTCTGAGGTTGAAGAACACCTCTAACTAATTCCCACATCCAAGCTGTGGGGTTCTGAAGCTTCCACTGTGGCCCGCCTACTTGTGCTACTGAGATCTTTTCAGCCATGCTGGCCACACTGTCCTTGGCAGATGGAACTGGAGGCTGCCAGGGGGCTGCATGCTGGCACTTCCAGCTCTGCCAGGTCCTAGGGGATCCAGGGTTAGTATCCACAGGGAAGAGCCTTCCCTGGAGTTGGGCACTAATGAGGTGAATCATTTTCACCACCAGCTTCTCCATGCATTTTAAACAGTGCTATGAAGATGAAGCGCTTACTGACAATAGACTGGCCTTTGCCTTTCAGAGCACTGTGCTCTTCCTACCTGAGCTGTTGTCCCCTTGCGCGGCGGCCTCATAAATGCGTGGAGAACGTACTTAGACAACACATAGTACTTGTCCATTTTTTAACGCCATAATTTTCAAGGAATGAATACGAAAGGAAATAGGTCAAAAAGCCACCAGCTGAACCACCTGGTTTGGTGGTTGGGCTAAGGCTGAAGTTTTGACAGGAAGGGTCTAAAGTGCTGAAATGGAGAACTAACATTTGGTCTCGCTGGCTAGACTCAAGTCAGTCCGCCCACACCAGAGAGAGAAATGCAAGCGTATCTGGGAGGGCGGGGGCCCCAGAAGTAATCCAGCGATAACCCGCTCGTGCATTCGTTTCCAGAGACCAAAATTTAAGACTCCCAAGTAATTTAGCCATTCCCTGCTGCCAGGTTTCCAGTGTACCGCCGGAGCCTCGGGGACAGAAGGAATTCATGTGAACCCTGGTCATTTCACCTGCCCTTTTCCAGTTTAACCCTTCCTACAAAAAGGAAGTTGGCTGTCGCCAGGTCCCAGGAATACACCTCTTACTTTCCTTAAAGGCAGGGCCAGCTGGTAACTCATGTCTCTTGGGAAGGCCCAGGTGTACCACAAAAAAGCAGGATCCAACCACTTGCCTCTAGAGAGCCATTTCTCTAGGCAGAAAACCAGTGTCCAGCATTCAATAAAGCAAACCCCAGAATGTCAGCAGCCAAGGCCCTAGGCGTCATTTCATCCAGCTTCATTTTACAGATGAGAAGGCAGAGCCCAGAGGCCCAGGTCTTGTCCACAGTCGCACTTCTGGGCTGCAGCCCCGCTCTCTTCATTCCTGGGCCAGAATTCTTTCAGCTCCTCAGGCCTGGCATCTAGCGTTTTGAGTAAAATCACATACCTCTAGGATCCCGTATGATTGTTGAGAACCAGGGCTAAGGCTTTATGGGTTTGGGGAAAACTTCAGTTTCTATTGCAAGAGTCAGTCAGTGAATCCCAGAGGTGCTTCCAGGTCGCGGGCCCCCAAATTTGATCAGGAAGGTGCTGCTTCTGTCCTGCTGCCTCCACGATGATTCGATTAAGGTGCTTTCCAAACCCAGTGTGGCAGCTGGGGCCTGGGCCTCAAACTAGAAACTTCCTGAGGAGCAACGCAAGTCTGTAGTTAGGGTTCAGGTGAAAGACACAAACTCCCAAAGTCTCCTGGTGTGGCCACCTTGCAGGCTCGGCCAGGTTCTTTCACAGGAGTGTGCTGACTGGCCAATCAGGCGGTTTGCTCCTGGAACGTGGAACCAAAATGACTTTGGTCCTGATTTTTCTTGTTCCAAGATCTCTATGAACCAGATAGAGCTTCCAGATTGTGGTTGCAAACTGGGATTCCCAATGCTTGGGGATCACTGGGGACATTTTCCATGTCTTCCATGGATTAATTCAAGAGTCACCAAAGGCTTACCCCATGGCTTACCCTCAGAGCTCTACAGGCTGCAGTTTAATTACCAGGAGCAAGACAGACTCCATGGCACCTCAGACTCTCCTTGCGCCTCTCCAAAGAAAAAGGAAAGGATTTAAAGATGGCGGCACTCATAGGGGACTGGCTAATAGCAGGAGTAGAGCTGCGATTTCACGGCCCTCAGAGAATCATCACACTGCACATCTGGGGTCAGCCCCTCAGGAGGCGGGGCCTGGCCCAGGATGCTGTCGCAGACAGGGACAGGTTGGCAGAACTCTCTCACGAAGTCCTCCTCCGAGGCCAGCAGCACTGCATTCCAGGCGGTGATGTCCAGCTCTCCAGCCGTGCCCCCATACTCCTTGGGGAGAATGCTTCTGGGAAGGCTTGTGTGCAGAGAGTTCAGGTTGGACCCGTGGAGGAAGAACTAAAGGGGAAACAGAAACACATGTGCCCTCAGGTTAATCAGTATCAGTCACCCGCAGGCCAGGTAGGGGCTCAACCATCTGTTGAATGAATAAAGGAACAGCTGATGGCAACTGGACCCTTCCAGTTCCTCGAAAAGCTTGAGGATCCTTAATTCCCTTCCTATACCCCATGCTCTGTTGGCTGCTCCTTCAAAAGACATCCAGGATCCAACCACTCTGCGGCCCACCTCATGGAACCCTGCCACCCCCACTTCTCCCCTGGGTTCCCACGACAGCCTCAGCCTGGTCTCCCTACTCGCAGCCTGTTCTGCAGTCTCAACTCTTCTCGGCGCCAGTCAGATCATGCCACTCCTTGCCGCGTGGCCTGCCGATGCTCCCACCTCACGCACGCCAGAGGCCGGGGTGCTCCCACCTCACTCGCCCCAGGGGCGGAGGTCGGCACGCTGGCCCCCGCGGCTCCTCCGCCGCCCCTCCCCTCTGCTGCTGCTCCTGCCCAATGGGCTCCCACCTGGGGGCGGTGCCGCTGCTGGTTCTCCTGGCTCTCCGAGATCTGTAAGCGCTCTCCCTCACCTCTGCCAAGCCGGCTCAAAGGCCAGCTTCTCAGCGACGCCATCCCTAACCCCCCTACTGGATGCTACAACCCCTTGCCCCTGTCCTGTACTGGCCCCTTTCTCTGCTTATTTTTTCTCCACAGCACTTATCACATCTTAATACTAGATAATATACATCCACTGTCTGTATCTCTAGCATGTAAGCTCCCCGGGGGGTTGGGGGGGGGCGGCGGCAGAGGTTTCGGTCTATGTTGTTCTAGAACATACTTGTGCACAGTAGTTGATCGCCAGATATTTTTTTTTTTAAGATTTTATTTATTTGAGAGAGAGAGAGAATGAGAGATAGCACGAGAGGGAAGAGGGTCAGAGGGAGAAGCAGACTCCCTGCTGAGCAGGGAGCCCGACATGGGACTCGATCCCGGGACTCCAGGGTCATGACCTGAGCCGAAGGCAGTCGCTTAACCAACTGAGCCACCCAGGTGCCCCGATCGACAGATATTTTTGAAAGAATGAATGAACATATGAAGGACGAAATGAACAAGATTATGGACCACAAATAAGGTCATTTCATAGATAAAAAAGGCCCATTCCAAAGACTGCTTTGGCTTTAAAAGCAGGTTCCAAACAGGATCTCCAGGTACTAAGAGGGGTTCAAACCCAGGCAGGGATGCCACTAAATTAGCAGTTCTCCAACCTGACTGTGCATCAGAATCACATAAGATTTTAAAAGCACAAACTCTTTGGCTCCACCCCTGAACGTTCAGAGTTAAAATCTTCAGGGAGGGGCGCCTGGGTGGCTCAGTCGTTAAGTGTCTGCCTTCAGCTCAGGTCATGATCCCAGGGTCCTGGGATCGAGCCCTGCATCGGGTTCCCTGCTCCGTGGGAAGCCTGCTTCTCCCTCTCCCACTCCCCCTGCTTGTGTTCCCTCTCTCGCTGTCTCTGTCAAATAAATAAAATCTTAAAACAAAAACAAAAACAAAAACAAAACAGCTTCAGTAGAGTGGAGGTATAGATTCTTTAAAAAAAAAAAATCTTCAGGGAAAGGGCCTGGGAATCTGGATTTTATTTTATTTTAGTAAAGATTTTCAGTAATCTCGATACCCAACATGGGGCTCGGACTTACAACCCTGAGATCAAGAGTAGCACATTCCACCAACTGAGCCAGCCAGGTGCCCCCATCTGTATTTTAAATTCCTTGCCTTGCAACTTTGAGATTCTCTCTCTGTTTCCTCTTTGAAAAAGTACAAAATTCAAGACCCAGTCTTTGGAGGGACCACACTGTTCCTAGGCCTAGGGAAGAAGGAGAAAAATACCACTCATCACATGCAATCACAGTACTAGCAAAGGTTGAGAAGTGGCTCTTCTGGGTCAGAGAGGAAGACCATCTTTCAAAATGCCATCTCTACTTTCTTAAACAACAGATAAGCTAAAACTCACTAATCTCATAAACCATGAATTATTCCACAAACTTGATACAGCAAGACAACAAATCAGGTAAATAGAAGGGCTTAAAATAGCATTTTTAAACCCCAAGGAGCTGTAGTAAGAAATCACCATAACTTTTTAACTACCTGCCCAATACTACCCTTCTCCCTGTCCTCTCACACATGAAATACAATGTTGGTTCACCGTGCCCAGGCCAGGATATTGAAGAGTCTAAATGACTACATAGCATTTTAACTCTTTTGAGAGCTACCTCCTCTGCTCTCTCCTGTCAAATATTATATCCTATTCATTTTGTCTTTTCACAGAAAGGATTGTTCACTTATTTTATCTGTAACTCTGTGCTTTCCAAATTAATCATCCCAGGACAAAAATAATAAACTAAGAGAAGTTTATTGATGTCACAAATAAGGGAGCAAAAAAAAAAAAAAAAAGTCAATAGAATCATCACTTACTCTGTTTGCTATTTTCTCCTTCAGAAATGGTTTTATGATGGCAAAAATGCCCTTAAATATTCGAGGTTCATTCACTACATGCACTGCTTTTATCCGAATGGGAAAGCCATCCTGCAGGGGAGGGGAAGGAGAGGTTAGAACATGTGGGGCACCCACAGACTGTCCACAGCTGCCTTCCTCCTTTAAATCTTCTTGAGGGCCCCCAATCAGTTTGGCCTGACTCTCATGGCCTCCTCAAAGCCAGCCCACGTGGGGGCTAACTAGGAAGACAAGCCTGAGAGAGAGAGAGTGTCTTTCTTGGGGCCTAAACTTAGGCCAACAAGTGGAGAGCTGCTCCTCTTGTGGCAAAACAAAACAAAACAAAACAAGACAAAAAAACAAAAATGAGAGCCTATGTGGATGGATCTAGCAACATCAATCCTTCAGGATCGGTGTTGCCAAAGGGTATTTCTCAGAACGGTACTAGGTGTGATGCAAAAAAGGTTCCAAGGTAGGTAAAGAAGTTTGAGAATAGCACGCTATGTAGTCACATGGGTTTCCTTCACTGCAGGACTGTCGTCTGCAAATGTTCACAGTCACATTCTCAAGAAAGGGACATGCTATACCACATTTCCCAGACTTATTTAACCCTGGAACTTTCTCCCCCCGATCATCTTAGAAGACTAGAAAACACTGATCCAAACTCCTTATCCTGGTATTTGAATCTACGCAGTATTTAGCAGGGGCATCGAAAGAAGAGTGGAAGCTAAGGGAAGCCAGAGTATTGGCTCCACATTTCTGATAATGACCAAATGTGATGCTGATGTTTAAATGATCAGCCTGGCACCCAGTTGGGGGCTCACAGGCATTGTGGGATTCACAGAGGAAACCGCTGTATTTCTGGTGCCCCACAGCTCACGAGAGACAGCACCCATGGGCTGGCCAGAGGGAATGAAGAGCCAAAATGGTTAGAGCCATAAGACTCAGGCCAGGCTACCCCTGCAAGGGCTGTGTCCCCATCCATCAAAAAGGAAAAATAATTTGTGCTCACTTCAGCAGCACATGTACTAAAAAGAAAACTTAATTTTTGCCTTGTTTATCTCAGAGGAGTCCTTGTAGGACTGAATGAGTTATAATGACTGTAAAAGCACTTTGCAAA